TCTGGGTTTGTGTCCAGTGGGGTCAGGTCAGGTGTGGGTGTTCTCAGGTGGGCATGGCAGATTTCTCCTGCTCTGAGAGTTTTGCAGAGCTCCCAATAACACGGTTTCCTTGTGGCTCACAAGTGGTGTCTTCTGGTATGGGTCAGGGGTCTGGGAACAGTAGCACCTAGGGGCCAGTCCTTGGGGGACTGAAGTCTGAAAACCCAACCTAGGGTTAATGTTAGGGAATGAGGAAGTGGTGGGCCTGATCTACCGATGCTGAGGTGAGCGCAGTGGGGGTCTGAGTTGAGGGTGTGGATCCAGTGGTGTATCAGTCTCTGGGTTTGTGTCCAGTGGGGTCGGGACACGTGTGGGTGGTTTCAGGTGAGCTTGGCAGATTTCTCCTGCTCTGGGAGTTTGTGGAGCTCCCATAGCATGATGGTTTCCTGTGGCTTGCAGGCAGAGTCCTCTGGTATGGGTCATGGGTCCTGGACCAGTAGGGCCTGGGGCCAGGCCTCAGGAGAGAAGCCTGAAAAACCAACCTAGGTTTAGAGTTACGGCCTAGGGGAATCAAGGTCCAATATACCAGAGCTGAGGTGATTGCCCCATGGGGCTGAGTTGAAGGGGTGGGTCCAGCTGAGTGTCAGTCTCTGGATTTGTGTCCAGGGGAGCCACTCCTTTATGGGTGGCCTCAGGTGGTCATGGCATTTTTCTACTGCTCTGAGTGTTTTGCAGAGTTTCCAATGGCATAGTTTCCTTGTGGCTGACAGGCGGAATCCTGTGGTATGGCTAGGGGTCACCAACAGGTAGGGCCTGGTGGTCCGGCCTCAGGGGACAGAAGCCTGAACACCCAACCAAATGTTAGGGTTAGGGCCTAGAGGCATGGCAGGCCCCATCTGCCGGCACCTAGATGAGTGCCCTGGGGGGCTGACTTGAGGCCATGGGTCCGGCTAAATGTCAGTCTCTGGGTTTGTGTCAAGGGGGCTGCCTCCTGTGGGGGTGGCCTCAGGTGGGCATGGCAGATTTCTCCTGCTCTGAGTGTGTTGTGGCGCTCCAAATAGCATGGTTTCCTTGTGGATCACAGGCAGAGTCCTCTGGTATGGTTCAGGGGTCCCCAACAGGGAGGGCCTGGGGGCCAGTCTTCGGAGAACAGAAGCCTCAAAACCCAACCTCAGGTTAGTTGGGGTTAAGGCTTAGGGGCATAGCAGGTCCAATCTATCAGCACCAAGGCTAGCACCTGGTGGGCTGAGTTGAGGGGGTCTGTCCGGTGAGTGTCAGTTTCCGGGTTTGTGTCCAGAGGCCACCTCAAGTCAGGGTGGCCTCAGGTAGGTATGGCAGGTTTCTCTTGCTCTGAGTATTTGCCAAGCTCCCAATGGCATGGTTCCCTTGTGGTCTTAGGTGGAGTCCACTGGTATGGCTCAGGGGTTCATGAACCCTTTGAGCCTGGGGGCCAGGCCACTGGGGACAGAAGTCTGAAAACCCAACATAGGGTTAGGGTTTGGGCCTAGGGGCCTGCTAAGCTCAATATACCAGCGCTGAGGTAAGCGCACCATGGGCCAGAGTTGAAGGCATGGGTCCGGTCGACTGTCAGTCTCTGGGTTTGTGTCCAGTGGGGTTGGGGCAGGTGTGGGTGGTCTCAGGTGGGCTTGGCAGATTTCTTCTGCTCTGGGAGTTTTGTGGAGCTCCCATAGCATGGTTTCCTGTGGCTTGCAGGCAGAGTCCTCTGGTATGGGTCATGGGTCCTGGACCGGTAGGGCCTGGGAGCCAGGCCTGGGGAGAAAAGCCTGAAAAACCAACCTAGGATTAGGGTTAGGGCCTAGGGGAATCACAGGCCCGATATACTGGAGCTGAGGCGATCACCTCAGGGGGCTGAGTTGAAGGCGTGGATCTGCTGAGTGTCAGTCTCTGGGTTTGTGTCGGGGAGCTGCCTCCTTTGTGGGTGGCCTCAGGTGGCCATGGCAGATTTCTCCTGCTCTGAGTGTTTAGTGGAGCTCCCAATGGCATGGTTTCCTTGTGGCTGACAAGGGGAGTCCACTGGTATGGCTCAGGGTTCCCTGACCAGTAAAGCCTGGTCGCCAGGCCTCTGGGGAGAGAAGCCTTAAAACCAAATCTAGGGTTAGGGTTAGAGCCTACAGGCATGGCAGACCTGATCTGCCATTGGTGAGGTGAGCACCCCAGGGAGCTTAGTTGAGGGCTTTGGTCAGGCTGAACGTTAGGCTCCGGGTTTGTGTCCAGAGGGGCCGCCTCAAGTGGATGTGACCTCAGGTGGGCATAGCAGATTTCTCCTGCTCTGAATCCTTTGTGAAACTCCAAATGGCACGTTTTCCTTCTGGCTGGCAGGCGGATTCCTCCCATATGGCTCAGGAGTCCCTGACCATTAGGGCCTGGGAGGTCAGGCCTCTGTGGACAGAAGCATGTGAATGAGATCATACAGTATTTGTCTTTCTCTGACTTTTTTCATTTTTCATGGTGTGTAGTGTTCAACCATGTTGTTGCAAACGGATGGATTTAGTTTTTTATGGGTGAATAATACTCTGTTGTATACACAGTTGTCCCTTGACCAAGATATGTTTTAAATGTGCAGGTCCACTTATATTTTGATAAATACTTTACTGTCAATGTATTGCATCTTCCTTGTGATTTTCTTAATATTTCCTTTTCTTTAGATTATTGTCAGAATACAGTACCTAATACATAAAACATTCAAAATATGTGTTAATAAACTCTTTATGTCATCAGTAAGACTTCTCATGAACAGGAGGCCTTAATAGTTAAGTTTTGGGGGGAGTTGAATTTATACAGAGGAGGCTTTAGTGCTTTCTATGTATGGCATCATGTCATTGGCAAAAAGTGACAGTTTTACTTCTTCCTTAGTAATTTGGGTGTCTTTTCTTTTCTTTTTTTTTTTTTTTTTAATCTGATGGCTCTGACTAGAACTTCTAGTACTATACTGAATAAAAGTAGTGAGAGTGTGCATGCTGGTCTCTTTCCTGATCTTAGCAGTAAAGCTCTAAATTTTTCACCATCAAGGGTGATGTTAGCTGTGGGTTTGTCATATATGGCCTTTGTTATGTTGAGGTATGTTTCCTCTAAGCCCAATTTGTTGAGAGCTTTTCTCACAGGTGGATGTTGAATTTTGTCAAATACTTTTTCTGAATTTATTGAGATGATCATGTAATATTCTTATCCTTCATTTTGTGAATGTGATCTATCGTGTTGATTGATGTCCCGACGTTAAACTGTCCTTGCCTCTGAAGAATATTTCCCAGTTGATGGTGGTGAATGATCTTTTTAAGGTATTACTGAATGTAGTTTGGTGGCATTTGGTTGAGGATTCTTATATCTATGTTCAGCAGGGGTATTGGCCTGTTAGTTTTTGTGTTTTTTTGTAGTGTCTTTGGGTTTGGAAACAGGGTAATGTTGGCCTCATAGATTGAATCTGGGAGTAGTCCTTCTATTTTTTGGAATAGCTTTTTTTCAAGTTTTTAGTTATGTGTGTGTGTGTTTTAAAGTAAATTCTACACTGAATGTGGGGGTTGAACTCACAACCCCAAGATCAATGGTTGCATGTTTTATTAACTTGAGCCAGCCAGGCACCCCTATTTTTTGCAGTAGTTTGAGACTAGGTATTAACTTTTCCTTGAATGTTTAGTGGAATTCACCAGTGATGCCAGCTGGTCCTGGACTTGTGTTTATTGCATTTTTTGATTATTACTGATTGTTTCCTATAATCAGCCCGTTCAGCTTCAGGGTTATCCTTGATCCTTGGGTGATCTTCATCAAGACCTTCAGGCTTCAAGTCAAGTTGAGGTGTTTACTTTGTCTTTCTACTTGGCCAGCTCTGAACTCATTTTCCTTCCTCCTGCTCAGAGAATTTATAAAAACTGTTTTCATATTCTAAGGTTTCTAAATGACATTTTATAGTTAGCCTTTCAGCCTCTCAGCACCGGAGTTCAAACCAGCAATCCCCTCAAGGGTAAAATCACACATCAGCTTCCCAATATGGATTTCCCAAGCCCTGGAATTGTCCCCCCACATCCTTGCTGCTTTCATCACCTTCCCATAGTGACAAATATACATGTACCGGTGTGTATGCGTGTGTGTGATAAATCACAAAGAGAGACGGACATAGGTATAGATGTTATTTCTGGAAAGTTCTAGTCATTGCAATGAAATGTTTACAGATGACATGATTTCCTACTTGAAAACCTAAGAATTATTAGTCAAAAATTACTGAATCCACTGAAGAATTCAATCGTCAGTAAACACAAGGGTTTGGTCAAAAAATCTTTTTATTATATTCGTGATAGAAAAGTAAACAGATACATAATTTTTTGTGTGCTGTGCTTTAGTATCTATGAAAAATAAAAGTGCACATATATGTGCAGCCACGTCACATCTATTCCTGAAGAATAATGAAAGATATATGCATATAGTAGGATTGTTATACTAACAAAAGCTCAAAATTATCTATCCTTGATTAAGGAGACGATTTTTAAAATTACTGTAGCCATGCAACAGGGCATTATATTTATACTACTTGTAAAAATATCTATAATGTTATTATATCTATAATATTATTACATAAATGTCACCATAAATCATAGGTATATTATACAGAAATTTATTTATTTATACACACAACACATATACATAAAACACATATTTCTGTATTTGAATAAAACCATATATACATATTATCTTTCCCTCTTCTTTGCCTTCTTTGTCTATGTCTGTGTATGTATGTGTCTCCAACTGTGTGTTTAACCAGTAAGGGAAAACAGGAAGGGCATCCTTGGAGAGACCAACAAATTCATTTTTATCTCATGTTATTGCCTCTGGCTGGAATTACCATCCCCTGTCTTCTCACTGCATGTACATACTTACATGTACATCCCTACACAAACATGTACCACGCACATTTATTTTTTAATAACCACTGGGGAAAAAAAACAAAATTACACGTGCCAAACTATCAAGACATAGGGGTAAGAAATGAGTGAATATCATATATAAAAAATTTTGTAACTTGTGGGATAATTTTTAATAGAAGAAAATATGATATGAATAAGGTGTCTTACCATGGTACAGACTGCAGATGAGATACAGCATAAGATCTCAGGGCTGGGTACACAAAGAATTTAATTGGAAGCTAAGACTGAGTTTTGTTTCATGCGGGCAAATTTGAACTGAATCTTAAAGGATGAAGACAATGAGAAGAGACAGGGTCAGGAATGCCCTCCCTGATGTGAAAGGAGAGGTGGACAGTGGCTAACACACAGGACAGAAAGCATCTGGCATATTCAAGTGAGGCCAGAGTGTGGCTCTGCAATCTGGCAGCCTGACCTTTCTTCAGACTGGGACGAAACAGAGCTTAAAGAAGGGCGGTGCACTGCCCAACCCATTGACAATGGGGGTGGTGTCAATGTCCTTTGGATCAACCAGAGGTTTCAAGGTGAAATGCTGTAAAATGTTGGTCAGTAGTAAAAAGAGCTCCATGCGGGCCAGGCCTTCTCCAATACAAGCTCTCTTTCCTAAAAACGACACATAAATTCAATATTCCTTTAATTCTGCTTCTGAGTTAGCACACAGGGGGGCTTAAATACATATGGATTGAGAAGAGAAATATATTCATAGACTAATTAACCCATGGCTTCTTGTATCTACACAGAAATGTGGTTTCCTTCACTTCCTCGGTACACATTTTTGTGTGCATGCGTAAGGGCAAGGGCAGCTTGCCCCAAGATGGGCCATGTAGGCATAAAGATTATTTTGAGTTAAAAGCAATCAAACCCCAGCAGATTCAGGAAAATCTCCCTACCTCTCCTTCAACTGCCTGCCTGCACCAGGAAGAGAGCATTTAGCAGACTGTTCTTTAATTATGAAACTTACTGACATAACAGGGCAACCTCTCACCTTCCTGCTAATGGTCTGACTCCCCCTGATCCTCAGACCACCGCCCCCCTCCTTAGCTCAGGATGTGGACCACAACCCATGTTGCCTGTCTTTGGAATTTTGTATGTTTGTGGATTGCCCATACCTGTGAAACTAAGTTTGACTTTCTCCTCTTTCTCTGTCTTTTGTCAATTTGATTTTTAGTCCGGCTAGGAAGTATCTTGAAAGGCAGAGGAAAATTCCTCATCCTGGACAGCTGGCCTAGTTGGCAGAAGCTTTAACACACTGGATACTGCCTGCCACAGACCGGGCTGCAGCTGGAGATCCTTGGGACGTCTGACAGACAGCCGGCAGAAGGTAAGATTTCTGACCATGTCTGTCTCCTGGAATCTGAGGAGTCTGATGGAACAAGAATGGTGAGTCCTTTTTCTCTCTTTCTACATTTAGATTAGCAGGAGAAAATGCTTGTGGAACTACTTCCTTATGTTTAGCAACTCTAGGTAATTTTGGTAGGGAACTTTCTTGGGGGGAAACAATGAACCAGAGGTCTTTCATCTTTGTTGATTAATTTTTTAAAAGATTTTGTCAGGTCGAGAGAGAGAGAGCGAGCGAGCACTCAAGCAGGGGAGCAGCAGGCAGAGGGAAAAGCAGACTCCCAGCTGAGCAGGGAGCCCAATGCGGGACCCAATCCCAGGACCCCAGGATCATGACCTGAGCCGAAGGCAGAGGCTTAACCAACTGAGCCACGCAGGCATCCCTCCTTTGTGCCTTTGTATCATTTATCATAAAAAGGAATTACCATCACACAGAAAACAGGCATAGGCCCTATAGGCCTGCTGTTTGAGCCAGTCCCAGAGACTGGTGAGTTCATGGTTCTCATCAGACTGGCACCTGTTTAGATAAACTTTGCTGTAGGTTAAAGGCTGTTGCTAAGGGGTATCCTGGAAACCAAAGCTTCAGGTGGAACACTGAAAAGCTGTGAGAGTGCTCGCCACCTCAAGAAGGCTCCTGTGATAAGGTGGTCACAGAACAGGTGAGACTGACATTTGGTCACCACTTGAGGTCAACCTCAAGAAAACTTCTGTGCAATGAGGTACACTATGGAAAATGTACAATGGCCAACATCTGCCTGTGGCACATCTCTCTTAGGTGTTTGTGTGTTTCCAAGAGACCCAGTGTTTAGCCAGAAGAAAACCAGGTAAGGCTTACCCTTTTTTCTTGTTCTGTGTCCCAGGAGCTTGGCTTTGTGACCAGTGAGAATATTCTTTTTGGTATCTACCATCTGGAGGATGCATTTACCAGGGTGCACTTTGGAGGCCAGTCTAAAAGACTGGGGATCTGAGTCTCTCTCTTTCTGACCATACCAACTCTCAAGGGTGTGTGTCATGAGAAGTCCCAGCCCATAGGAACCTTGCTATTCTCAAACTTTGTTAGTGCTGGAAAGTGCCATTACAGGAGCAAATGCCCCGGGGTCACAGATGATTGAGTCTGGGATGAGAAGCATCTCATGATTTCACTGGAGACCAGCAATGAAGGTTTTCTGCTTTCTTAGACTAACTATGGGAGTCAACTTTTGGATCATGAGGGCTCCATCATCTGTGCCCTCTCTCTGGATGCCTAAGGCATTAAAAGGCTTATTAATTAGAGTTGCTCATAACAGATCCTACTCATCAGTGGTCTGATGATGTATCCTTTAAGCTGGCTAATAAATGTAAAAAGAAAACTTTGTTTAAAAAAATATTTTACTTATTTGAGAGAGAGACAGAAGGATCTGGGTCAGGAGGGGCAGAGGGAGTGTGGGAGGGAGAAGCAGACTCCCCACTGAAAAGGGAACCCAACATGGGGCTCAGTCCCAGGATCCTGAGATCATGACCTGAGCCGAAGGCAGACACTTAACCGACTCAGCCACCCAGGTGCCCCAAAGGAAAACATTCTTTTTTTAAGATTTTATTTATTTATTTATTTGACAGAGAGAGAGAGAGAGAGAGAGAGAGATCATAAGGAGGCAGAGAGGTAGGAAGAGAAAGGAAGGGAATCAGCCTCCCTGCTGAGCAGAGAGCCCGATGTGGGGCTCCATCCCAGGACCCTGGGATCATGACCTGAGCAGAAGGCAGAGGCTTTAACCCACTTAGCCACCCAGGCGCCCCAAGGAAAACGTTCTTAATAGAGAGTGGCTCTCAAATGTCCTAGCCTAATGCCACCCTCAGGGACTCCCTTGACAAGATGAAAGATCAGAAATTAGAAATGTCTACATCCAACATAAATTTCCCCTAAAATCCAGCCTCATCTGCCCATTTTAACTTTCCTTTCCTTTTAGGATTTACATAGAGCACTGTAGTCTCTTCTCTAGGTTCAAAGTATATAGGTTGCTCATGTAAAGGCTGAACGCCAGGAAGTGAATTTAACAAAAGCAGTAAGGCTCACTTTGCTCCTACCTTCCAGGGCTTTGTAATCAGGCCCTGCCAGCTTCAGGCATGGCACTTGGCTGGTGTATCCTAGGCCCACACCGCAAAAGAATGTGTGTCTCAGAGTATATATGAACAGTATTTGCCAATTTTGATTATACCTCCTAAAATTGTTAAATAATTTCAGATAGTTTAAATAGAAATCTTATTCTTTAAAGTGTAACTTTTAATAAAGTAAAAATTAACTGGAAAAAAAAAAAGGTGTGTCTCCTGGACAGCAGCAGACCTTTTAAATTACAAAGCCCTTTTAACCTCTACTTTCAAAGCATTCTACCAAATTCAGAGAGAAATTTAAAAGATTAACCACTAGTCACAACCCCCCTTCAGAGAGGAAACATGAACCAAATTTCTCCCAGGCCCACCTATAAATGATCAGGGAAAGGCCAATATTCGGAGGCTAACAGCCCAGATTAAATTGTGTACCCAGATAGAAGGCCTTTGTTAAAATGCTTTATACAGACTTTACAAAGTCATGAGTCTTTTGTTTCCCATTTTAATTAAAAATCTATATTTTATAAAAATATAAAAGCAAGTTTAGTTAAAAAGGTGGGCCACTCCCTTGATATTCACGCTATAATCCAGTTCTTTGGGGGAACTGTTTCAAAATGACTGTCTTTGCCTTCCAAAGCTCTACAAAGCCAGAAATCCAGCCCCAGAAACAAGTCTAAGCCCACCTGTCTACCAATCCCCAAACTTTGCCTATTCCTCTCAAAATATTTGTAGATACTATAAAAGATCAGCATTTGGAACATGATTGTCCAGTACTTAAAAAAAAAGATAAATTTTAAATAGCAAGTACCCTGAAACTCTAGAAATAAATGTTTTTTTTACATTATTTCTCCATCCCTTGAAATTATAAATCTTTCTCTTTTTTTTTACGAGAGTAAGGGGAGGGCAGGAGCAGAGGGAGAGAGAATCTTAAGTAGGCTCCACTCCCAGTGCAGAGCTCAACCTCACGACTCTCAGGCCATGACATGGGCCAACAAGAAGAGCCTGACACTGACTAAACCACTCAGATGCCCCCTGAATTTATAAATCTAATATCTTTGAACACAGCCCACAGTCACTCAAAAAAATAAAAAAGGGGGAGTGGTGTGGGAAAAGGCCTTTTCAGAGCACAGGCTGCTTAAATCCCTCTTATGTCCAGACTTGGAAGAAACTTGGAGATTTCTCTGTGACTTTGTGAAATAAATTTTCTATCCTATCATCTCTAGGATATAAGAACCATTCTTTAGACACACACTACAGGGAGAATTTTTTCATTAAAAAAAGAAAAAGAGGGAAGCATTTGAAAATTGAGGTTATACCGTCCTGTCCACAAATATTAGTAAAAACAAAAGCCGTAAGAATATTTTTTATCTTGTTTGTGTGTACGTATCCCATATTGCAAATGTGAGGTATTTTCTCTACTTCCAGCTGGTATTGCCAAAATTAATTTATAAAAGAGCACCATTTAGTTGAAGGCAAGCACTCCTAAGGATTGGGCTTTCTTTCTTTTTTTTTTTTTTTTAAGATTTTATTTATTTATTTGACAGACAGAGATCACAAGTAGGCAGAGAGGCAGGCAGAGAGAGAGGGGGAAGCAGGCTCCCTGCCGAGCAGAGAGCCTGATGCGGGACTCGATCCCAGGCCCCTGGGATCATGACCTGAGCTGAAGGCAGAGGCTTTAACCCACTGAGCCACCCAGGCACCCCAGGATTGGGCTTTCTAATACTCAGAAGAGGGGCACCTGGATGGCTCAGTCAGTTAAGCATCTGCTTTCAGCTCAGATCATGATCCCAGAGTCCTGTGATTGAGCCCTAAGTTGGGCTCCCTGCTCAGCGGGGGGAGTCTGCTTCTCCCCTTGCCTTGGCCCCTTACCCGTATTCCTTCTCTTTCTCAAATAAATAAATAAATATTCAATAAAATTTAAAAAGACTTTTATAAAACTCTAAAAGATAGAAACTAACCTAAATGTTTTTCAAGTTTATGTGATCAGGAAAGATGCTCAGTATTAAAGCTAATTTAAAGTTCTTGGTTTAACTAAAATAGCCATGTCTTCAGAGTTATCAGGATTAGGGCGCCTGGATGGCTCAGATGGTTAACGTCAACCGTCTGCCTTCGGCTCAGGTCATGATCCTGGGGTTCTGGGACTGAGTCCCACACTGGGCTCCCTGCTCCTTGGGGAATCTGCTTCTTCCTTGGCCTCTCTCTCCCTCATGAATAAATAAATAAAATCCTTGGAGTTATCAGGATTAAATATAAAACTTGTATTCTGCCTGTGTTTACTGGAAGTCACATAAATTCATGCTATCTCTTACAATCTTTGATAGAAAAAAACATTAAAATGATGGCTTACTTTGTCTAATGCCTCAAAATTTTGTAGGTAGACTAAACTATTCAGAATACATAAATTAAATAAATGTAAATAAGATAAAAAGGTATGTAGGTGAACTTTTATAATTTTTGTTTTTTTAAAGATTTTATTATTTTAGAGTGATCGAGAATGCAAGTGGGGAGAGAGAATCTGAAGCAGACCCCACCCTGAGGTCGGAGCCCAACAAGGGGCTCGATCCCACGACTGTGAGATCATATGTGGGGAAACTTTTAAAGAGCTCCCAAAATCTTTGGTAACTTGGATTTTTAAAAATTTTGCTAAGTTAAATGTTAAGCTAAATTCATTGAATATCTAGATCATTTCCAGATAAGATAAAACAATGAAACATTAAGTACCGAATACAGGTTTCTCTCCTTTTGTCTTATTTACAGAGAAACTAAAGGTAAGTTTGGGTCAGTTAGTAAACCTGGTTTGTGCCTTACTGAAAGAGTGTACTGTGAAAAAACACGTGTTTCTAAGTGGCAAAGCTATTCCTCAATTTGCCAGTCTAAAGATCACTAGTAACACTAGGAACTAGTAACAGTTCACTGCAAAAAGTGAGAGGCCTCCAGTCACAGACCTGCTGATCTGGGATGCTGGGCAGGCACTCATGGAATGGGACTTCCTGGAAACAACAAGAAACGGGGGCTGCCATGACAACAGTTCCTACGGGCCGGACCTCTCAACGACTAACACACTTGAGAGCTGGCGTGGCCAGACAGAGACTTCGAACCCCATTCTACTTGGCCAGGCGTCCTAGTTCTAACAGCTTTTAAGTGTTCTACCGGTGTCTGCCAGTTCTGCAGCTCCGGCTTCCAAGATGTTGTTAAGCAACACCCCTCATGTGCCCATTAACCTTGAGCAAAGAAAGTTTGTATGACAAATGACATAAAGGACACAAAGGAAAACAAAGATCCTCTCTGGGAGGAAAGAGAAATGTTAGCAAAAAAGACCCTACCAAATGTACCAAGAGTCACTTAGCCCAAGGAACTAGTTGCACAAGAGTTCTCTCCTGCTAATATAAATTTAGAGAGAAAAAGGACTGTTGCCGTTCCCACTCCATCAGACCCTGCGGACAGAAATTCTGAGAGCCCGACGTGGTAGGAAATCTTACCTTGTGCCAGCTGTCAGATGTCCCAAGGATCTCTCAGCTACAGCAATGTGTGGGGCGAGCAGTGTCCAGCTGACACACCTTGTCGGGGAGCAAGAATTTCCTGTCCCCTTCAAGGTCCCTGTGGCTGGTCTAAGGATCAGACTGACACCAGACAAATTAACAGAAGGAAATAAAATTTCATTTTCTACGTACGGAGTAATTCACACAGACTCAGAAATTCCAAAGAGAGTCAGGCAAACAAGGTATATACGTCATCCTGAACTAAGGGGTCAGGAAAAAAAGAAATATTACAAATTGGCCACAAACCTACTAACTAATCCCTGATCCCCTGACATACAATTTCAAATGTGATCTAGATTCCAGTCATTCCTGCAACTGAAATAGCCTTCCTCTCTGCTCTGCCTGTTGATACTTCCCACATCCTTCTAGAGCCACCTCAGATGTCATTTCTTCTATGTAAACTTCTTTGATGTGCTCAGAGTATATAACTCACTTCTTTATCTCTTTGTGACAACACTCGCTAATGCTTCAAAACAGCACATTTCAGATGAAATTTTACTTAATCATCTGTCTCACATTCTGGAACATAAGCTCCTAAGGTAAGGCCTCAGATCTTGTAATGATACCCACAGTGTCAGCGCAAAGCAGGTCGGCAAGCCCTGTGACTTGAACAGAAATCTCAAGGAATCTCATTATGCAGTAATGGGCCCAACACAGAGGAAGAAAGATAAGGAGTAGTTCAGTAGGTATCCTGCTTTGAGATCCTCTCTGGGCATGGTCCATAATCTTGAGACCACAATAGCAAGTGTTGCTTGATATTTGTGTTTCTTCTATATTCAGTCGGAAACAAATCTCCCATTTTTGCCTCTGTTTCAATTACTTCTGCAGGAAAGGCCCTTTTACCCTCCCTTCTTCCCCCCATGTCTCCTTTAGAATGTGCTGAATATTCTCCATTTCTCCCTCCTTCCAGCTCCATTTTGGGTTTGTCTTTTATGTCTACTCTGTGCTCAGGAAGCTGATTTCTGTGGACTGCATAAAGCAAGAAGTTAGTTCCCTTCTGGGTTCTGAATAAATTCAGAGCATTAGCTACTGACAAGGTCAGACGATCTATTCCCTCCTGCCGGGCTGCAGTTTAGACAGCGGCTGTACGCCTCTGCTACAGACACCAACTCCTGTTGAAGCATCCACTCTTTCTTTCCTCAAGTTCTACTGGGCTTCCAGTAATGCCCTTCTTCCCTCATCCCTTCCGACCTACGATGGGAACGTCTTCTGGCCGATGCTGGTCTATCACACCTTAATCCTGCCTACATCTCTGAAAAACAGTCTCATCATTAAATACTCAAAAATTAGCCACAAGCTTACTAACTAATCACTAATCCCCAAACAGACTAGAAAATTCAAATATGATCTAGATTTAGTCATTCTGGAACGACTTGTTGAGTGTGTCACCTGTTTCTTCCCAGGACCCTAACAAAGTAAAGGGAGATACTCAAATTTCCCTTACCCTCTCTCTATCTACTCTACTCCCTACCCCTTCTTAGGACTCTCAGTGGTTGGTTCTGGGGCCAGTCTTGGCAAAGGAAAGCCTCCAATCCAACGAGAAACAACCTGGGCTTCGGGAGTGATGCCCCTGGCCTCAAACAAATGACAATCTGTTCAGCCCAGAGTAGTCTCCATGCAAAGCCCTTCCTCATCTCCCTGACCCCTGATGTAGAGATAATAATGAAGCTTGCTTGCCTGCGGAGAAGGACACGAAGTAGTCACTCCTCTTAAAGTTGCCACTTTTATCCAGGAAGTGGCCGGGATCAAAGCGATCTGGTTTGGGAAACTCTTGGTCATCATGCAGAACGGAAGTCAGAGATGTTAATATGGTTGTGCCCTGATGTGAAGGAAAACAGATAAACTAGATTATAATGAAAGTCATGGAGCTTGAAATCCTTTTGTTTTATAGATGAGGAGAGAGGTATAAAAAGAACGTATTGGGGTGCCTGGGTGGCTCAGTGGGTTAAGCCTCTGCCTTCAGCTCAGGTCATGATCCCAGGGTCCTGGGATCGAGCCCTGCGTCAGGCTCTCTGCTCAGCGGGGAGCCTGCTTCCCCTTCTCTCTCTGCTCGTCTCTCTGCCTACTTGTGATCTCTGTCTGTCAAATAAATAAATAAAATCTTAAAAAAAAACCGTATTTACTCCTTATTTCAGAACAAATGACCTACCCTAACAGGTTCTAAATCCTTTAATGTCAGTCCAAGGCATTGCTAACTGACGCCCAAGTCATTCTCTTCAGTTTGTAGCCTGATACTAGCACTTGCTTTTTCAGAAAATTAAGGGAACTCCCTGGAGTGCATTGTTCTTGACAGATAAATTGCAGTATTTTTTTTTTAAGATTTTATGTATTTATTTGACAGAGATCACAAGTAGGTAGAGAGGCAGGTGGCGGGGGGGCAGGAAGCAGACTCCCTGCTGAGCAGAGAGCCCGATGTGGGGCTCAATCCCTGGACCCTGAGACCACGACCTGAGCTGAAGGCAGAGGCTTAACCTCCTCAGCCACCCAGGCACCCCAAATTGCAGTATTGTCTAAAAGGAGCTGATGCCCCTGAAAATCCAGCTCATTGTCTTTGGAACACAGGATAAGGTCTTCAAAGATTTACTTGAGTGGCTATATTCTTGAAACCCTTTACCTTCCCATCAAGATGACAAAATAAGGGGTGCCTGGCTGGCTCAATCAATAGAGCATGTGACTTTTGATCTTGGGATCATGGCTTCAAGCTATGTTCTACACTGGGTGTAGAACTTACTTAAAAAAATTTTTTTTAAAGATGAGAACAAATAACTATCCCCTTCTGTTGTGCTGTTTCAATTAGATTATTGCAATTTCTTGTGGAAACGAGACAGCATTTCTAGTTTTGAATAGGGTGTTCCTAAACTCATGGATGCAGTACAACATGATGATTTGGAGTTTAGTTTTCAAAATCAATTGAATCTTTCTATTAAATTAAGCTCTGTGATGATAGGCCAGTTGTGTAACACTTCCATGACTCATTTTCATTACTAGTAAAATGTAAAGGATACATCGGCACTAGTTCATCACAAACATAAAATGAGATAATATATGAAATACTTTTGCACGAAAATGCCTGCATGCTAGGGGTGCCTGGGTGACTCAGTCAGTTGGTCATCTGACTCTAGATTTTGGCTCAGGTCACAATCTCAGGGTGGTGAGATCAAGCCCTGCATTGGACTCTATGCTCAGTATGAAGTCTGCTTGATTCTCTCTCCCTTTCCCCCTACCCCTTCCCCTGGCTGTATGCTCTAAATAAATAAATAAGTACATAAATAAGTAAAATCTGTAAAAAAATTTCTCTCTCCCTCCCTGCCCAGTTTTCCTGCTCATGCATGGGTCTCTCTTAAAAAAAAAAAAAAAATTACCACAGGGTAAAATGCTCAATAAAGGGATGCATGGGTGGCTCTGTTAGTTAAGCCTCTGCTTTTATTTATTTTTTGTTAAAAAAGATTTTATTTATTTATTTGACAGAAATCACAAGCAGACAGAGAGGCAGGCAGAGAGAGACAGGAGGAAGCAGGCTCCCTGCTGAGCAGAGAGCCGGATGTGGGGCTCGATCGCAGGACCCTGAGATCACAACCTGAGTGGAAGGCAGAGGCTTTAACCCACTGAGCCACCCAGGTGCTCCAAGCCTCTGCTTTTAGCTCAGGTCATGATCTCCAGATCCTGGGATCAAGTAAAAATAGAAGAGAAGGGAACACTTCCAAATTCATTTTGTGAGGGCAGCATAATTCTAATTCCAAAACCACCCAAGGACACCACAAGAAAAGAAAATTAAAGGCCAATATCTCTGATGAAGATGTTAAAAATTCTCAATAAAAATCTTTACAAACTGAATTGTACGGTACAGTAAAGGGATTATATCCCATAATCAAGTCGGATTTAGTCCAGGGATGCAAGGATGGTTCAACATCCACAAATCATTGTGATGTACATTAAAAAATGAAGGCTAAAAATCATATGATCATCTCAGTAGATGCTGACAAAAGTCAACATTAGTTTATGATAAAAATGCTCAACAAAGTACATATAGAGGGAATGTACCTCGACATCATAAAGGCCATATATGATAAAGGCCATCTATGATAAGTCCACAGCTAACATCATTCTCAATGGGGAAAAGCTTCAGCTTTTCCTCTACATCAGAAACAAAAGAAAGATGCCCACTCTCACCACTTTTATTCAGCATAGTACTAGAAGTCCTAGTCCAAGCATTTTGGCAAGAAAAAGAAAAAGCACTCAAATAGGAAAAGAAGCAGAACTATCACTATTTGAAGATGACATGACATTGTAAATTTTTAAAATCCCTAAAGACTCCACTCAAACTGTTAGAATAAATTAATTCAGGATAAAAATGAATATACAAATATCTGTTACATTTTTAATGTGAAACTAATAATGAACTCTAAAGGAATTAAGAAAACCAACCCATGCACATTGGTATAAAAAACCTAGTAATAAATTTAACCAAAGAGGTGAAAGATCTGTACACTGAAAACTATGACACTGATGAAAGAAATGGAAGAAGACACAGAACAAATGGAAAGGTATTCTGTGCCCATGGTTTGGGAAAATTAATATTGTTATAATATCTATACCAGCCAAAGCCATCTTTAGATTCAATGCAATCCTTATCAAGATTCCTATGGCATTTTCATAGAAATGGAATAAACAATCCTAAAATCTGTGGAGAATGACAAAAGTCCTAAAGAGCCAAAGCAATCTGGCGAAAGAACAAAGCTGGAGGCATCACACTTCCTCATTTCAAACTGTATGACAAAGCTACAGTCATTAAAACAGCATGATATTGGTATAAAAACAGATGCATAGATCAATGAAAAGAATACACGGCCTAGGAATAAACCCATGCATAGGGGGCCAATTAATTTTTAACAAAGGTGCCAAGATATACAACTAAGAAAAGACAATCTCTTCAATAAATGGTGTTGGAGAAACTAAATCCTATCTTAACAAGAGACATAAAAATGAACTCAAAATGAATTAAATAATTGAATATAAGACCTAAAACCACAAAAATCCTAGAAGAACATAGGCAATAAGGAGTCTTGGCAATGAATACTATGAAGAAAATCCCGTGGGAGTCCAAGCACTATGATTTATAAAATTGCATCAACAAAGTAAAAAGAAAGGAGCATGTGGTCAGAGGGTAAGATGTCTGGTCTCTGACTGTGTCATACTTATAGATGGTTAGGTAATCTATAATCCTACTTTCGTGATGCCTGATAACCTAAGATTCTCAAGGAGGGGCACATAGGTGGCTTAGTCAGTTACACCTCCAACTCTTGATTTGGGCTCAGGTCATGATCTCAGGGTCATGAGAGGGAACCCCTGGATGGGATTGGGCTGGACATGGTGTCTGGTTGAGATTCTCTGTCCTTCTCCCTCTGCCCCTCCCCTCTTGCTTTCTCTCTCAAAACAAAAAAAAAAAATGTGTAAATAAAAAATTAAAAATTAAAAAAATTCTTAAGGAGTAGTAGAGATGAAATCTCTCTCACCTTGGGAATAAAGTATTCTCTGAACTTAATGTCCTGAGTCACTGCATGTGGGAGACTGTTGGGGACGAGATCAATGTATCTCTGGATCTCGTGTACCACAGCATCTGTGTAGGGCATGCGGCTCCTGTCCTGCATGCAGGGGCTCCGGTGTCTGCCAACCACACGGTGAATCTCTTCCTGGACTTTAGCTGCAGGATAGGAATCAGAATTTATATGAAATGGAAAAGTCATTTGATCTGACCTTTTTCCTTGTTGTTGTTGAAATATTTTATTAACTTTAAAGAGAGAGATTGGGGAGGAGGGACAGAGGGAGGAGAGAACCAAAAGCTGACTCCAAGTTGAGTGTGGCGCCTGATGGGAGACCCAGTCTCATGACCCGGAGATCAAAACCTGAGCAGAAACCAAGAATCGATGTATAACTGACTGAGCCACCCAGGTGCCCCTTGATGTGATCTTTATCATGGCTACATTGTGGAAGGAGACTAGGAGAGGGGAAAATCACATATGGCTACTTTCTTCAGCGGCAGAAATTTGTTTCCTAGTCAAATTGGAATCTCATTAGAGACGTTAAGATATGTACATAGAACACATAATTGTACTATGAGAGTCAACTCTGATTCTCTATTTTGTGTGCTTTGTTTGATAAACTCAGGGATCTGGGGTCTTAAAAGCTCACTATAGACCATGCTGTTTGACCACTTTGTGTAGGCCCGTTTTTGTTTTAAATGTGTAAGTTCCAGTGCCGGGGTGGCTTAGTCTGTTAAGTGATGAGCGCAGAGTCCAGAGATTGAACCCCACATCAGGATCCTCCTCCACAGAAAGCCTGCTTCTCCCTCTGCCCCTCACCCCCCTCATGTTCTCTCTCTGTATCATTTGCTCTCTCTCAAATAAAATCTTAAAAAAAATGTAAATTCCAAGAGGCTAAAACTACGCAGGGCAATAAATGCTTAATAAATAGAACAACTGAGGGGCGCCTGGGTGGCTCAGTGGGTTAACCCTCCGCCTTCGGCTCAGGTCATGGTCTCAGTGTCCTGGGATCAAGCTCCGCATCAGGCTCTCTGCCTGCTTCCTCCTCTCTCTCTTCCTGCCTCTCTGCCTACTTGTGATCTCTCTCTGTGTCAAATAAATAGATAGATAGATAGATAGATAGAACTGAATAAGATGTTGGACTCAGCACACAGGACCCAGAAGTTAACATTTCTTTAGGATGCAAAACATGACAGGCATGCTGTACAATGTATTACATTACTTTATAATTCCTCAAAAAATTCTACATGTTGGGTATTATTTTATGTGCCTTAAAAATAAGAAAACAGGTCCATAAAAGTAAATGTATTTCTTAAAGACACCCAGGTGTTCTGTGGTCTTTTTTTTTCATTTTTTTAATTGTGTTATGTTAGTCACCATAAAATGTATCATTTGTTGTTTTTCTTAAAATATTTTATTTATTTATTTGACACACAGAGAGAGATCACAAGTAGGCAGAGAGGCAGGCAAGGGAGGGGAAGGAAGGAGGCAGGGAGCAGGGAGCCCGATGTGGAGCTCCATCCCAGGACCCTGAGATCATGACCTGAGCCGAAGGCAGAGGCTTAACCCACTGAGCCACCCAGGCACCCCTAAAATACATCATTTGCTTTTGATGCTGTGTTCCAAGATTCATTGTTTATGTACAACACCCAGGGCTCCATGCAATACGTGCCCTCCTTAATACCCCCCACCAGGCTCACTTATCCCCCTGACCCCCTCCCCTCTAAAACCCTCAGTTTGTTTCTCAGAGTCCACAGTCTCTCCTGGTCTTTCTTATTCTCAAACCCATAATCTTAGCAACTGAATAAGATCACTGAAAGTAATTTGGGTTAGCGAATTATATTTTTCCTTTATTTGTAAAATGTATCACGTTAATAATATGCAGTTTTAGTAGGACTGTTCATTAGTTAAAATAAACATTTATTAACCTTCTCCCATGAGGGAAAGATCCTGTGACCGTTAGGAAGCATCATCTCTCCTAAACAGATGAGGGACCAAGCAAGATACACAAAGAGTTCGTCATGAGTCTGAGGTCACACAGCTACTTACTATAAAGTCGGGATCTGAAGCCACTGTAGTTAGTCTATAACACATTTTCTCCTGTACCATGTTGCTACTTTGGTCAAATGGTGTGGATCTACTACCTGAAGAATGTGTCTTTGTTAAGGGAGCACTGATAATCTGTGGTTTGATAGCTATCAGGAAGACTTGGGAATTTTAGAGAAGTTTTAAACTTCACCTTTTCAAGTTGAGAAGCTGGATTTTTATCTAGAAGACAGTGATTATGCAAAGTGGTTAGGAACTTACTTAAATAATCAGAATGCTTAAGAATGCCCCAGTAAGGAATGAAAATGGGAAGAAAAAGAATATATAAATGGATATGATGCAAGAAAAAATTAACATGGAAGCATTGGGGAACGAGGACACCAAAAATCCAAAAGGATTTTTGCCATGTACACAAGATTTACAGGTCTGGAGAAAAATGTCATATGGTATCTGGAGTCATAATCAATATAGATCTAATAAGAGGGAAGTTATTTGGCTGAAAGAATCTGTGTCAAGTGAAGGAAGCACAGTGCCATTAGATCCCATAATGTGTGACAGCAAAGGGATCTCAAAGCTGTGCTTCTAGCTTGCACCATTTGGGAAGTACTTCTTACTTGGACTGGGAGGGTAAAAGGACTTGAAACAAAGGAGAATGATCTAGTGCTGACATCACGGAGATAAGCTTCCTGAGATTTAATTGTATTAAAAGTGTCTCTGCTTCCCCCTCTATCTCCCTGCCTCTCTGCCTATTTGTGATCACTCTCTCTGCCAAATAAATAAATATTTTTTTTAAAAAGTGTCGCTTCCCTATGACCCTGCAGTTGCACTACTGGGTATTTACCCCAAAGATACAGATGGAGTGAAAAGAAGGGCCATCTGTACCCCAATGTTCATAGCAGCAATGGCCACGGTTGCCAAACTGTGGAAAGAACCAAGATGCCCTTCAATGGACGAATGGATAAGGAAGATGTGGTCCCTATACACTATGGAGTATTATGCCTCCATCAGAAAGGATGAATAGCCAACTTTTGTAGCAACATGGATGGGACTGGAAGAGATTATGCTGAGTGAAATAAGTCAAGCAGAGAGCGTCAATTATCATATGGTTTTGCTTATTTGTGGAGCATAAGGAAAACATGGAAGACATGGGGAGATGGAGAGGAGAAGGGAGTTGAGCGAAATTGGAAGGGGAGGTGAACCATGAGAGACTATGGACTCTGAAAAACAATCTGAGGGTTTTGAAGGGGCGGGAGGTGGGAAGTTGGGTGAGCCTGGTGGTGGGTATTATGGAGGGCACGTATTGCATGGAGCACTGGGTGTGGTGCATAAACAATGAATTCTGGTACACTGAAAAGAAATTTAAAAAAAAAAATTAAAAAAAAAAGTGTCTCAGTGTGCCAAAGCACAGAACATGATTCAGTAGTGAAGGAAATAATCCTTTGATGAGCACTCAAAAAAGAAGAGGAAGAAAAGTGGGAAGGTTGCATTTGCAAGAGAAACTGTATTTGTGAGGAAGAATTTCTTTGTCTTAATGGGTATATTTGAAAAGACTGTATTTGTATGTAACCTTTTTTATTTAGGGACAGAATCTCTTAGATGAAGACAGACTGTCATTTTGACTGAGTCGATCCTCACACTGAAAATGCATTTGAGTAGAAATATCTTCTGACAGGAGCACCTGGGTGGCTCAGTGGGTTAAGCCTCTGCCTTCAGCTCAGGTCATGATCCCGGGGTCCTGGGATCGAGCCCCGCATCAGGCTCTCTGCTCAGCAGGGAGCCTGCTTCCCTTCCTCTCTCTCTGCCTGCCTCTCTGCCTACTTGTGCTCTCTCTGTGTCAAATAAATAAATAAATAAAAACCTTTATTAAAAAAAAAAACTCAATCACAAGAGGAAATTTGGAAAGAACCCAAATACATGGAGACTAAACAGCATCCTTCTAAAGAATGAATGGGTCAACCAGGAAATTAAAGAAGAATTGAAAAAATTCATGGAAACAAATGATAATGAAAACACAATGGTTCAAAATCTGTGGGACACAGCAAAGGCAGTCCTGAGAGGAAAATATATAGCGGTACAAGCCTTTCTCAAGAAACAAGAAAGGTCTCAGGTACACAACCTAACCCTACACCTAAAGGAGCTGGAGAAAAAACAAGAAATAAACCCTAAACCCAGCAGGAGAAGAGAAATCATAAAGATCAGAGCATAAATCAATGAAATAGAAACCAAAAAAACAATAGAACAAATCAACGAAACTAGGAGCTGGTTCTTTGAAAGAATTAATAAGATTGATAAACCCGTGGGCAGACTTATCAAAAAGAAAAGAGAAAGGACCCAAATAAATAAAATCATGAATGAAAGAGGAGAGATCACAACCAACACCAAAGAAATACAGACGATTATAAGAACATACTATGAGCAACTCTACGCCAACAAATTTGACAATCTGGAAGAAATGGATACATTCCTAGAGACATATAAACTACCACAACTGAACCAGGAAGAAATAGAAAGCCTGAACAGACCCATAACCAGTAAGGAGATTGAAACAGTCATCAAAAATCTCCAAACAAACAAAAGCCCAGGGCCAGACGGCTTCCCGGGGAAATTCTACCAAACATTTAAAGAAGAACTAATTCCTATTCTTCTGAAACTGTTCCAAAAAATAGAAATGGAAGGAAAACTTCCAAACCCATTTTATGAGGCCAGCATCACCTTGATCCCCAAACCAGACAAGGATCCCATCAAAAAAGAGAACTACAGACCAATATCCTTGATGAACACAGATGCAAAAATTCTCACCAAAATACTAGCCAACAGGATTCAACAGTACATTAAAAGGATTATTCACCACGACCAAGTGGGATTTATTCCAGGGCTGCAAGGTTGGTTCAACATCCACAAATCAATCAATGTGATACAACACATTAATAAAAGAAAGAACAAGAACCATATGATACTCTCCACAGATGCTGAAAAAGCATTGACAAAGTACAGCATCCCTTCCTGATCAAAACTCTTCAAAGTGTAGGGATAGAGGGCACATACCTCAATATTATCAAAGCCATCTATGAAAAACCCACCGCAAATATCATTCTCAATGGAGAAAAACTGAAAGCTTTTCCGCTAAGGTCAGGAACATGGCAGGGATGTCCGTTATCACCACTGCTATTCAACATGGTATTAGAAGTCCTAGCCTCAGCAATCAGACAACAAAAGGAAATTAAAGGCATCCATATCGGCAAAGAAGAAGTCAAACTATCACTCTTTGCAGATGATATGATACTATATGTGGAAAACCCTAAAGACTCCACTCCAAAACTGCTAGAACTTGTACAGGAATTCAGTAAAGTGTCAGGATATAAAATCAATGCACAGAAATCAGTTGCATTTCTATACACCAACAAGACAGTAGAAAGAGAAATTAAGAAGTCAATCCCAATTACAATTGCACCCAAAACTATAAGATACCTAGGAATAAACCTAACCAAAGAGGCTAAGAATCTTTACTCAGAAAACTATAAAGTACTCATGAAAGAAATTGAGGAAGACACAAAGAAATGGAAAAATGTTCCATGCTCCTGGATTGGAAGAATAAATATTGTGAAAATGTCTATGCTACCTAAAGCAATCTACACATTTAATGCAATTCCTATCAAAGTACCATCCATTTTTTTTCAAAGAAATGGAACAAATAATCCTAAAATTTATATGGAACCAGAAAAGACCTCAAATAGCGAAAGGAATATTGAAAAAGAAAGCCAAAGTTGGTGGCATCACAATTCCGGACTTCAAGCTCTATTACAAAGCTGTCATCATCAAGACAGCATGGTACTGGCACAAAAACAGACACATAGCTCAATGGAACAGAATAGAGAGCCCAGAAATAGACCCTCAACTCTATGGTCAACTAATCTTCGACAAAGCAGGAAAAAAGGTCCAATGGAAAAAAAGACAGCCTCTTCAATAAATGGTATTGGGAAAATTGGACAGCCACATGCAGAAAAATGAAATTGGATCATTTCCTTACACCACACACGAAAATAGACTCAAAATGGATGAAGAACCTCAATGTGAGACAGGAATCCATCCAAATCCTTGAGGAGAACACAGGCAGCAACCTCTTCGACCTCAGCCGCAGCAACATCTTCTTAGGAAGATCGCCAAAGGCAAGGGAAGCAAGGGCAAAAATGAACTATTGGGATTTTATCAAGATCAAAAGCTTTTGCACAGCAAAGGAAACAGTTAACAAAACCAAAAGACAACTGACAGAACGGGAGAAGATATTTGCAAACGACATATCAGATAAAGGGCTAGTATCCAAAATCTATAAAGAACCTTCCAAACTCAACACCCAAAGAACAAATAATCCAATCAAGAAATGGGCAGAAGACATGAAGAGACATTTCTGCAAAGACGACATCCAGATGGTCAACAGACACATGAAAAAGTGCTCCATATCACTCGGCATCAGGGAAATACAAATCAAAACCACAATGAGGTATCACCTCACACCAGTCAGAATGGCTAAAATTAACAAGTCAGGAAATGACAGATGCTGGCGAGGATGCGGAGAAAGGGGAACCCTCCTACACTGTTGGTGGGAATGCAAGCTGGTGCAACCACTCTGGAAAACAGCATGGAGGTTCCTCAAAATGTTGAAAATAGAACTAACCTATGACTCAGCAATTGCACTGCTGGGTATTTACCCTAAAGATACAAACGTAGTGATCCGAAGGGGCACGTGCACCCGAATGTTTATAGCAGCAATGTCTACAATAGCCAAACTCTGGAAAGAACCTAGATGTCCATCAACAGACGAATGAATAAAGAAGATGTGGTATATATACACAATGGAATACTATGCAGCCATCAAAAGAAATGAAATCTTGCCATTTGCGACGATGTGGATGGAACTAGAGGGTATCATGCTTAGCGAAATAAGTCAATCGGAGAAAGACAACTATCATATGATCTCCCTGATATGAGGAAGTGGAGATGCAACATGGGGGGTTAAGGGAGTAGGAGAAGAGTAAGTGAAACAAGATGGGATTGGGAGGGAGACAAACCATAAGTGACTCTTAATCTCACAAAACAAACTGAGGGTTGATGGGGGGAGGGGGGTTGGGGGGCTGGGGTTATGGACATTGGGGAGGGTATGTGCTATGGTGAGTACTGTGAAGTGTGTAAACCTGGCGATTCACAAACCTGTACCCCTGGGGATAAAAATATATTATAGTTTATAAAAAATAAAATTTAAAAAAAAGACAAAACAAAATAAAAAAATATTATATATATGAAAGTTTTTCTGTACCTTGGAAACTTTTCATAATAACCCCTCCCCAAAATAAATACGAAGGTATATGTTTATCTTTAAAAAAAAAAAAAAGAAAAGAAATATCTTCTGACAAAAATACATTTATCTGGATATGGAAGACATAATAAGTGATATCCTTCTAGAGAAAGCAGAAGGCCGGTTCTTCAAGATCCTACAACAACTCTGCTTATTGCATCTGTCCCAATGCAAATTAGGGACATTCCATCATAGCACAGCAAGCAGTGAGCTCTGCTCCTCAAATCTCTGCTGCTGTTTAAATGTTTCATTATCTTTTTGTGCTATAAACTACTTTGAATTTAATTTATCCAATGACAGGAAGATGTACAAATAAAGGAAATTTTTTTTCTGTGCATTGTCTGGGCATGTAAAGAGCGGGATAGTTGTCAGTATCACCTGCCAATTTCTACCTGGAATTGCACCCCGCCCAACACCTGTGACTGTACCTGTGACCTCTGGGTACTTCAGCAGCATCAGGAGTCCATATCTCAGGGTGGTGCTTGTTGTCTCTGTTCCTGCACTAAACACATCCCATATGGTAATGATCAGGTTGTCCATGGTAAATTCAGACTGTTTATTGTGTTTTTCCTAGAAATGATGTGTTACAATTACTTGATAAATAAAAGAGCCTCGGAGGTAACTCAATATGACATTGTTATTTGGTGTGAGTGCTATGGCTGAAGGCCGAGTTAGATAGTTTTTAGGGTTCTGTCCAACAATTAAAATATAACCAGAGTTATGAACCTTTCTGATTCTTCACTTTGTCATCCCCTATGTCGATCAGTGGCTCTACCATTTCTTTGAAACATAATTTTTATCAGGTCCTCACTGCTACTCACTGTCAATTCTAGCATCTATTGCCTATTTTATAATATCTAATATTTTTATTCAACCCTTCAGAAACACCCCCCCCCAAATGCATCACTAGTCCCAACTCTTCAGTCATTACACCCATGACAGTGCCTCAATTACAATCAAGATCAACTCTCTGAAAATTCCACCCTTGTGATCACGGCACTTCTCATTCTCATTGTTGTCTCTGTTCATCTAAGCTAGAATTTCTTCTGTGAAGAAGCCTCATCTGTGAAGACTTCCTAGTGCCTTTCCAAAGGTAAGCCTTTGTAGATTCCTGTCTATTCCTGTGTTCCTTCATTTGTTATATCTTCCCATTGCTGGACTTTTCTGATGAAGGATGATATGTTGTGTATCATTAATGTTGAATGTGTGAGTGTATATTTCAAAATGTCCCCAAATAAGGAACCAGCTTTCACACTATAAATGTAAAACCTGCAAAGTCATTTTCACTGGGGATTGAGAAATATCTCAAGATACCCAATGTGGTTTGCACAAACAAGAGGTTAGACAGGCAATTAATACATCTTTAGGAAGGGTCATTTGTTTTAATATCCCAGTTTCAGTGGGAATCACACCACCCACAAAGATAAAGGGTCAGATTATACCTTTTCTATTTTGATCAGGAAGTAGTCAATAAAGTCCCGAGGGTTACTGAAGTCCAGGGATTCTTGGTGTTCTTTTATTTTTTCCTTAATAAACTCAAATTGTTTAGCAATGTTTTTAAATAACACATGATGATTTCCTGGAAGGTAATGTATTAAAAGAGGAAAAGCATTGTAGAGCTGAAAGAGGAAAGAATCATTCATTAATTCACTCAGCAAAGTTGTACGGGCCCATGTTATGTACCAGACACTTAGTTGTATGCTGAGTAGATAAAGTTGAGTAAGACCTGCTTCCTCCAACAGAATACACTTGGATTTGAAGGAGAGGGAACTGAGAAGATGTCTGAAGTTACAGTATGCACCAGCCACAAAGCAATTTGAAAACCACCTAAATGATTTCCTAGCCATAACCCTATGGAGGAATCCAGGAGCACACCATCTTTTCCCAAAGGAGAATACTGAGGTTCAGAAAGGTCAACCATTGTAAGACATCAGTCTATAAAGAGGGCTAGAATGTAGTGTTCATTCCAGTTTACCTACACGTATTTCTACAGAGTTACCTAAAAAGTTTACAGGGCTCCCACCCTTTTTTTGTAATGAAGAGACTACATTAGAAAGATTAAAGAAATGCCCAAATTACTTAGGTTATTTAGGGATTTTATACCCTCAGGAATGTGCACATTGCCCTTCTTCGTCTGCCCAAAGCCAGTCCTAGAGTTTACAGACTCAACTTTAGAGAGTGCCTCATGATTTAATGCCCTTGGTAGGCACTGAAGCAATTTCGGGCCCATAGATTGTATCTAGAGATACGAAGCTACAGAAATCTAGATTATAGGTCTAGCTCATTCTTTGTCTTGGCTAGGAATTCCTTGTCTTTGAAAAATATGCTTAATATCTCTGGGTGACAGTTTCCTGTTCCAAAAAATGACAGACTCCTTGTTCTCTAGTGTCCTTTCCAGGTGGCACACATCATGACGTCATGGTCCACACATACTTGTAGCTCTTAATGATCATACATTGTAGGTTAATAATGTGTTCTGACACTGTACCATAGTGAAAAATACATTTTACATCATCACCCTCTTCATCTATGGATATAAAATGGTTTCTCAGAAAAATACCTTGCTATAACTGATACACTGTCCTACATTTCTCTACTACTATATTTCAAGGTTCTTAAAATAATTTTTAAATATTTATTTTAGAGAGAGAGAGGGAGTGAGCATAGTGGGGAGGGGAAGAGAGAAAGAGAAATCTCAAGCAAACTCCCTGCTGAGCACCGAGCCTGATAAGGGACTTGAGCCCACGCACCTGGGATCATGACCTGAGCTGAAATCACCAGTCGGATGTTTTGAGTATAAGCCACTCAGGCGCCCCACTCCATTTCATGTTGTAAATTTCATTTCACCACATTAAATTGATTTGATAACTAATTGGTTTCAAATGATAGTTTGATAAACATGACTTTATCCATTTGCAAGCCGGACAAAGGGGTGAGGTAAGCATGAGCAATAGGTTAGCTAAAAACTTATTTCCCATTTAAAAAACTTATTTTCCCATTTACCTGTATCCAGGGGGTGCTTGAAATTAGGAGGTTTTCGTGAAAATACTCTATCAAGGTTAACAATGTTTTATCGCCATACTCAAAACGATTCTGGAAAATAATGGAGCAGATGACATTGCAGGGAGCACAGCCCAGAAGGGAAGTAGGATCACAGGGAGATGCTAAAACAATATAAGTTAAAAGTTAGAGCACAATTTTCATATAAATCTGAAATTGATGGTCTGGAACACTAGAAAGAAATTTTAAAAATAAATAAAAATTTAAAAAAAAATTTTTTTAAATGACTGAGAAGGGTTGACTGCTGGGGTTCTTTTAAATATAGGGATTCCCTGGATATTTCATCTTCACTGTAAACCCAGTGTGCCAAAAATGTATTGTTCCCCAAACAAAGCTGTCTAATCCAGTCCATTTTTTAATTTCTCTAAGTGTTCTATTTACATTATTCTTCAAATAAGAGCCACAACATAATTCACAAGAAGGAGGTCACTTAAAAATATCTTGAAAGGTGGAGGGCACAGATTGCATAGAGCACTGGGTGTGGTCCATAAACAATGAATTCTGGAACACTGAAAAGAAATTTTAAAAAATAAATAAAAATTTAAAAAAATATCTTGAAAGGTATAAAGTTCAGCTCTCAGTGTGACTATTTCTTCACGATGCCTGCAGGAAGCTAAGCAGCCTCAGAAGATCAGGAGACTGGAGAGACTTGAAACTGTTATTTTATAAAACATAGTTGAAAAAAGCTGTGTGTACTCTTCTTGTAGAAGAGAACAATCATGAGAGAAACTGGAGTTCCATTTGGATCTTTGAAAAAATACATTATCGTATTGGAACCAGGCTCCCTATATATAATATAGAACATGACTCCATGCTTTGAAGTTTGGCTGCTGACAACTTTTGAACCTCACCTCTTCTTCTTCTATTCACAACTGGACAAGCGGATAAAAAACCTCAAGGGTCCTTCCTTTGGAAGCAGGACATTTAAACTCTACAAGCACTGACCTGCACACAGGAACTCATTCTCTACCCTATCCCTTAACCACCACAGAGTCATCAAGCCAGTGCCCTTTCCCTGCTCTCTCAAGTTGTTTTTTTTTTTTTTTTAAGATTTTATTTGTTTATTTGATAGAGCAGAGTGAGAGAAAGACAGCACAAGCAGGATAAGGGGCAGAGAGGTACAAGCAGGCTCCTCGCTGAGCAGGGAGTTTGACAAGGGGCTCCATCCCAGGATCCTGGGATCATGACCTGAGCTGAAGACAGAAGCTTAGCCACTCAACTGAGACACCCAGGCCTCCTTCTCAAGCTGTTTCTTCATCTGCTTAGGAGCTGCCCCGCGCTCTACAGAAAGCCTCATTTTGTGAATCAAACTTTTTACATCCAAATGGGATGTGTATGGTACAATCAGTCTCGACAAATAATAAATCATGGATCACTACATCAAAAACTGATGTACTATGCGGTGACTAACATGACATAATAAAAAATAATTAAAAAAAAGAAGATAACACAAGAATAAAAACAAAATAAAACATCTAAACCAGATTTGGGGTGGGAGATACATCTTGTCTCTGTGAGGTGACTGTTACAACACTGTAGCTCCAAAAGGGACAAAAAAAAACAAACGTAGCTGGGATCAAAAAGTGGAATTTTTGAGGAAAGATGTTCTGCTCAACATACGAAAGAACCTTCCAATAGTCAGAGTTACCCAGTGGTGAGATGGGTTACCCAAGAGTCGAGGGCCCCATAGCTTGGCAGGATCGGGCAGAATCAGGGTGGCTGTAGGTCACGAGCATCCAAATAGTGGAATACTGTAGTAATCTATTATAATGTTCTTAATAAACATAAATTAAACATGAAGTATTTAGTATATTAAATTGAAAGTTTACAAAAATATATATGTTTATATCCCTTCTTCTGTCAGGTCTCCCAACCACTCCTCAGTAATACACATCAAAAGTCTAAATGATATTCACTGTCACTAGACTGTCACAACTTATTCTGAGGAAGAAACAAAAATCATGCAAGTATTTGTAATAATTGCATTTTTTATATTAATAGCAGCAAAAAAAAAAAGCGGAGGGACAAAATATCTAGACAATACATAACTTGAGTTAAAAAACATTGGGGCGCCTGGGTGGCTCGGTGGGTTAAAGCCTCTGCCTTCGGCTCAGGTCATGGTCTCAGGGTCCTGGGATCGAGCCCCACATCGGGCTCTCTGCTCGGCAGGGAGTCTGCTCCACTGCCCCCTCTCTCTCTCTCTGACTGCCTTTCTGCCTACTTTTGATCTCTGTCAAGTAAATAAATAAAATCTTAAAAAAAAAACAAACCCACAATGGCAGCCAGGGGCGCCAGGGTGGCTCAGTCAGTTTAGCATCTGACTCTTGATTTCAGCTCAGGTCATGATCTCAGGGTCGTTGGATCAAGCCCCGCATCAGGCTCCATGCTGAGGGTGGAGCCTGCTTAAGACTCTCTCTCTCCCTGCCTTTCCCCACCACTCTCTCTCTCTAAAAAATACATATGTATGTATATATACATATATATGAAACACGATGGCAGTTCACCATACAGAAAACAGCATTATTTATTTGGAAAATATTGAAATACTGAGGTTCAGGAAACCACATATATCTTATGATCCTGATCTTACTCCTTTCCTGACAAGTGTCCTGCCCACCTCCTTTCTCTTCTACCTCCCCTGGCAGTCCTGCATGGCATACACACGTATACAAAAATGCCAGCATAATGACGTGACATACATTGGAAATTACTTCATTTTTCAAGATATTATGGCCAAAACTACTAGTTCACTACCAAAATCCATGTTCTCCCCATTTTCCTATGCACACAGACACCTACATTTCCCAGTGCCTCTTAGGGTGGGTGCGGTCCCATGGTAGAGCCCATGGAATGTGAAAGAAGTTTGGTGTGCTATTGCCATACCTGGCCTACTGAAAACCCAATTTGCTGTTTTGATTGTTCTTTGCTCCTTCTGCTACCATGCAAACAGAAAGAAATCTGGGTGACCCAGGAAGCCAGGTGCTGAAAAAAGATATCAGGGTTCCTATCACCCTAGTGCCTGAAACAGCTGTTACGCCAACCACTTTCCCTCTTACTACTGTTACGTGAGCAAAAAAGCAACTTTTGTTGTGCTGCAGGCATCAGATCTCTCTGTCGCCTATCTGAAATAGCACAGAGTCTCCCCAAACGAGTACTGCTCGTTACATAAAGAAATACACACCGTTGGTTTTTTTTAACGCTTCCACCAGACACAAGGCTTCCTCTTGAATTCTGTCTTCAATAGTCTTCTTTCCCATGCCCATATTCCGCAAAATCGTGAGGGAAAAACGCCGGGTTTGCTTCCATGTTTCTCCACTGCTGAAAACAATTCCTATCAGAAAAAGAGAGAAAAAGAGAGAGAAAAGAATGACCTCCATCACCATGAATTCTAGCTGAGAGTCAGTATCTCAGAAAAGGATAATCACACTTAGGCAGGGATGTGAATAGGGTGGTGTCAGCAACAGAACTTTCCAATGAGCCCTGCTGTGCCCACCTCCTCTTAACCTAGTGTCTGTCAGGACTCTGGTTTGATGTATTACTCAACTCTTCTACATCTGTTAGCTCCTTCAAACCTCGGAATAATTCTGTGAACCAAGGGTTTTGTCCCCATTTTACTGATGGTCAATGAGGCAAAATGCTTGCTCTGTGCTCACACAGGTAATAGATCATGGTGAGTCCATGTCGTAGATGACATTTCAGGGCTGGTTTTTGCACATTGTAAATGAATTGTGGGAGAGGCAACAAAACGAGTTGCTTCTCAAGAGAAGGAGAGAGCACTCGTGCACTGGAAAGAAGTTCATGATAAGCTCTTCCTCCTCATTTTCACATTTGCCCTCTGTTTGTTAACTCTTTTCCATGAAACATAGTCTTAACACCAAGAAAGTTCAATCAGACTCCTGGAGCCATGACAAGATCAGGAGAAAGTAATTTTCATAGGAAATTTGTCCATATAGATTTTAAAGAACAAGGTAGAGGAGGAAGTGACCCATTCAGGCCTTATCTTTTTTTGCAGAAACCCAGTGACCCACCAGAGGACTGGAGACCCTAGGGCCAACTGCAGAACAAATGGAAGACAGTTCAACTACTTTAGTTTAAAAAGCTTTTTCTAAGATCACTTGCAATCCATATATATTCACCGTGCGTTTTCCTGTAATCATCTCAGAGCACATTTGTGCTTTATGCTTTGTATCTCATTGTATTCAAATATTTCCTATGCTTTTTTTTTTTAAAGAAGAAGAAATGATTGAAGGCAAGGCTAGAAATATTTCAAACCTATGTTGGCTCCATGCACACTATGGAACTTTCTTAAAATAGTCTCTTGGCAACCATGACTCAGGCCAGAAAGCAAAATGTTTGCTGACTAGGATAACTGAGTCGTTTTCGTCCCTCCTTATTTCTCCTAGTCTCTTATTATCTTAACTGAAATGAACATTATCTTAACTGGCCATAATTTAAAGTGGACACAAATTCATAGAATGTTGACAGTGAGATGATTTGCTTCCACTGCCTCTAGTGCCTCTAGTATTTCATGGAGACATTGTGTGTCCCCTTCATTATCTACAATATGGATTAATGATCCTTTATAGAAAAATGTTGGAATTTCTCTAAATACGTACAATTTCTCAATCCCTTGGCCTGTTTGGAGTCTTAACAACTTACAAACCCACAAACATTCCCCAAATTGACGCACACCTAATCCACGGGTGATGCAGTCCACCACTGGGAAACCGCCTCTGCCAGAAAACTCCTCACTCCGATCAATCAGGGCTTCCTTCACCGCTTCATGTCCATATAACACCACTGTGGGCTTCATGCCGAAATACACAGTGAACACAGGGCCATAACTCTCTGCTAGCTGGGAAAGGAACAAGTGCAAGAGCAGTAGAATTTCGCAACTAGGAATGTGGACAAGTGAGAGAAATAGTTTTAATCTTACCGAAGAGATATTTTAATATGCACTCAACCATTATAAAAGCTTTCAACTTGTAGAACTAGTAATTAAATAAATCACATTAGTGGTAATTATCATTCTATTATTAGTAACATTGCTACTATTATGATCCTCATCCACAGTTCATCTTTATTCAGCTCCTCCTATGTGACAGGGGCTATATTATGGATTTTATTCATATTATTTTATTAACTTTTGCCTGCCACACCTGTAATTGCAACAAATTTCTCTTCCTTCCTATAGTTACAATGGTGGGTTCTCGTCCTGTTTAAGGGGAGTTCCTGCTCTTGTCCCCTGTGTAGACTCATAATCCTCCCTCATTATCCACCTCCCACATCTTTTTAGCACACAGAGTACTAGATTTTTTAATAGTACATAAGAACCTGATGATGTAGGGGCACCTGGGTGGCTCACTGGGTTAAAGCCTCTGCCTTTGGCTCAGGTCACGATCCCGGGGTCCTGGGATCGAGCCCCACATCGGGCTCTCTGTTCAGTGGGGAGCCTGCTTCCCCCCCTCCCTGTCTATTTGTGATCTCTGTCAAACAGATAAATAAAATATTTAAAAAAAAAAAGACCCTGATGATGTAATCACCGACATTTCCCCACTTCCCTGTGTGGCCATGTGACAAAGTTTGCACGAACTGCTATTAGCAGAAATGATGTGTGCAAATCCTACACTACTGGTAAATGATAAATGCTTGCCCTCCATCCCTCCCCCTACCCATGGACTAAAACGACAGCGTGGAGATAGCCCCACTGTGTCTGTGCACATGTGAACAATAGCCTAGGTGCCAGGATGCTAAACTACAAGACTAAGAAAACCTGGTTCTCTGGATGACCTCAAGGAGGACAGGCAGCCTCTATAGCATTCTGTAAGATAGAAATAAGCTCCTGTCTTCTTTAAGCCACTGTGTTATTGAGATCTTTCTGTCATGGCAACTTATTTGGTATCCTAAATGATGTAGGACCTACACTCTTTCAACTTACCCAAAGTGTGAGTCCTCCTGCTGCCTTACAAGTCATTCTCCATTAAACAACCAGAGTGATCTTTTCACAGGGCAAATGCTAACATGAGAGTCCTGTTTAAGCACATTAATGGCATCGCATGGCTCTTGGGCTAAAGATTATATGTGTGTGTGTGTGTGTGTGTGTGTGTGTGTGTGTGTGTGTGTGTTTAATTATTTTTTTAAAGTAGCCTCCAAATTCAGCATGGTGCCCAAGACAGGGCTTGAACTCACAACCTGAGATCAAGACCTGAGCTGAGATTGAGAGTCAGATGCTTAAACAACTGAGCTACCCAGGAAGCTCTAAAAACTAATATTCTTTTTTTTTTAATGTTTTATTTATTTATTTGACAGAGGGAGAGAGATCACAGTAGGCAGAAAGGCAGGCGGGTCGGGGGGGGGAGGAAGCAGGCTCCCCGCTGAGCAGAGAGCCCGACGTGGGGCCCGATCCCAGGACTCCGAGATCATGACCCGAGCCAAAGGCAGAGACTCAACCCACCAAGCCACCCAGGTGCCCCAAAACTAATATTCTTAAAAGCCTTGAAAGACCCACATGCTCTGGCCCCTACTTACTTCTCCAATCTCATCCCACACCATGTTTTTATTTACTCTCTGGTCTATAAGCAAACTGGTCCTACTTCAGAGACACCAACAAGTAATTCTCGTCCAGATTCAAGCAGCCTAGAACAAACTTACATCTGTATTTTTTCTGGTGAGTGCTTGGTCATTCTTTAGATCTCAGCTCCAGGTTCACTTGCTCAGAGAACCCTTTGCTGACTGTTCCTCCCATCCTTCCTCCTCCAGAATGCATGGCCTCTTGCTACTGTGTCCCTTTTACGTGGTTTGTAATCACACACTCACTTGCATGATTACTTTACAAATACATGCCTTCCGTCTAGACTATAAATTCCATAATGCTAGAGTCTTCTTTTTTTCATTCATCACTGAAAATCCCCAGCATCTAATGGAGTGCCTAATACAAAGTAGACATTCAGTAAATTGTTCAGTATATGACATACTCAAGGACCATGTGAAAAATACAATTATTATTCACATTTTAAAGAAATGGAAACTAAGGCTCAGGGAGATTTTTAAAATTTGCCCAATGCTGTGAGTTTACAAGTGGACGGCTAGGGTGCTAACATAATGCCTTTGAATCCACAGCCCAAAACACAGAAAGAAGCTTCTAGAGGGTGTGTTCTGGTCACTAGCTATCTTAGTGAAGACAGATTTCAGACAATTCCTTCAAGATTTAGAGAGCTGTTGCTATATAAATAGCCAAGAATAAAGTAGTTACTCACTCACTCATTGAGCAAATATAATAGAAGCTGAAAATTTTGGAGACTTGAATTATTTCCTAGACTTAAATCAATGTGTGCTCTTAGGAAACTTCTAGTGTGACTGTGTAAATCTTTAGAACTTTTTTTTTTAACTGAAAGCAATTTCACTGCCATTAGAGTTTACTAAAGAATAATTACTAAAAAGGAGACCTGGTCACAAAATGGACAGGGAATTCCTTCTTTGGCAATTTCAGCAATAATCTCATGGCTCTCAATCCCTTCTGGAAGCTTTCCAGCTATATACCACTTACAATCATATCTGAGTATCCAAATGACACGTCCTATTCAAACCATCTCCTTAAAACATGGTGTCTGGGACATTTTATTTAGTTATAGGGCTGTAAATGCAAACAACTGGAAGAAAAGTAATCATACTTGCCTTCCTTAGAGATTTGCTGACATTCTTAGTATTTATCTGTAGAATATTTCCAATGATTGGGAGAGGAGTCGGGCCAGGCGGCAGCTTCCCTCTGGCACGGTTGCAATTCCACAGAAAGAAAGGAATCAAACAAGAAAGACATATTACCAGAAGTATGAAGAGATCCATTGATGTGTTTTGTATAAATGAAGTTGAAAACTTGGTATCCAATGACTTTATAAATACTAAGTGCAAGCTAATCATCAAACATGCACTGTTTTGAACTTTTGGGTAAATACGTGTTTTATCCTCAGTGGACTGTGACCCACTGGTAAATATGAAAAGAAAATCAGTCACCTTAGTATTGATAAATATCTAGGTTTTCAGTGGCAATGGTCTGGAGAAGTGTTATTTTTTTAGTTGGGACTGTCATATTTTAACAGTAAAATTGAAAGCTATCTGATTTTCAAAGAGATGTAATTCATGATCGTGACAATTGATTAAAGAATTATCTCATGTCAAAATTTACCATTCTGTGAGCAGAAGAAAGAAGCACTCTCCCAGTGTCTTTTTCCAGAAAATCCAGGAAAAGGCCAGAATTAAGAGACAGAAAGGAGGAGACAGGGTAAAAATGAAGGCTATAGAGAGCTAGTATCTCCCAGAGAAGAGGAGAGATATCTCAACTCTCTTGACAAAGCCTTGCCCATATGTCAGGAGTTCTGACACACTTAACTGCCAAGGGGGATACGGGATCAACAAACAGTAGATAGGGGACGGAATCTATCAAATCAAGGGAAGAAATCACTCAAACAGTGGGAAGTCCCTTGGCTGCATGTCACCTATCCTTCCCCCCACACATCCTTTTCCAGTGAGGGTCCTAGAATCGGAGTCTATATTGCTTGTTCTCAATTTGGTGAAGAAATATACTCTAGCATTCAATACTATGAATATTTCAAAGCGTCTATGAACTCAGATATCAAAGATATTTGAGGGGGAATCCTCTTACACTGTTGGTGGGAATGCGGCTGGGGCAGCCACTTTGGAAAACAGTATGGAGGTTCCTCAGAAAGTTGAATATAGAGCTACCCTATGACCCAATAACAGTACTACCAGGTATTTACCCCAAAGATACAAATGTAGTGATCTGAAAGGGCACATGCACCCCAGTGTTTATAGGAGCAATGTCCAAAATAGCCAAACTATGGGAAAAGCCCAGATGTCCATCGATAGATGAATGGATAAAGAAGATATGGATTTTATACACACACACACACACACACACACACATACGAATACTACTCAGTCATCAAAAAATTGAAATGTTGCCACTTGCAATGACATGGATGGAACTAGAGGGTATTATGCTAAGCGAAATAAGTTAAACAGAGACAATTATATGATCTCACTCATATGTGGGATTTAAAAAATAAACAGAGGATCAGAGGGGAGGAAAGAAAAAAAAAACAAGATGAAATCAGAGAGGGAGACAAACCATAAGAGACTCTTAATCATAGGACACAAACTGAGGGTTGCTGAAGGGGAGGGAGGTGGGGGAACAGGGTAACTGGTGATAGAATGAGCACTGCGTGTTACCTAAGACTGATGAATCACTGACCTCTACCTCTGAAACCAATAATACATTACATGTTAATTAACTGAATTTAAATTAAAAAATGGAAAAGATATTTGAGGAACTCCAACAAGGCATAACAAACATTATACTTCAAAATCAGAACACTAACCCTGAAGAAGCTAACATCAAGAAAACAGAAAAAAAAAATGGTAAAATAAATTTAACATCAGAGATATAAAAACTGGGCCTTCAGAGAGGTGTTAATGTGGTGGAGCAGTAAGGGGAGCCTAAGCTTGCCTCATTTCCCTCAAACATGAGGTACCAACATCAAATCATTTGGAACAACTGGAAATTGATCGGAGGCTAAAGAAAATAATCTGCACAGTTGGAAGGAGAGAATGTGACAAATGCAAGGCTTATTATTATTATTTATTTTTGACAGAGATCACAAATAGGCAGAGAGGCAGGCAGAGAGAGCGGGGGAAGCAGGCTCCCCGCTGAGCAGAGAGCCCGATACAGGGCTCAATCCCAGGACCCTAGGATCATGACCTGAGCCAAAGGCAGAGGCTTTAACCCACTGAGCCACCCAGGCGCCCCTGCAAGGCTTATCTTAACAAACAAATCAAAGCTCATGTAGTTAAAGATCCAAACACTCCCCAGTGCAAGCAAGGAGGAATTCTTTAGAGGACTGACCTTTGTGAAAGCGCATCTGAAACATGACAGCAGACCACACAGCATACACCAGAAAGACTTCCTGAAACTCCAGGCCCTGGACAGTGTATGACTCTTTCTTAATATGGTATTACTCTCAGGAGCAGGAAACATAAATTTCCATAATTCAGAAAAGACAGAAACTTAGACATGATGACAAGACAGAGGAATTTTCCCCAAAAGAAAGTTCAAGAAAAAAATCTCAGCCAGGGGTTCACTCAAAACAGATATAAACAAAAACAAACAAACAACAACAACAACAACAAAGCCAAAAACCAGATATAAGCAATATATCTGAACAAGAATTTAGAACAACAGTCATAAGAATACTGGCTGGGCTTGAAAGATGCGTAGAAGATGCCAGAGAAACCCTGGCTGTAGAGATCAAAGACCTAAAAACTAGTCAGGCTGAGATAAAAAGTGCTATGACTGAGGTACAAAACTGACTGGATATAATCACAATGAGGATGGAAGAACCAGAGTATCAAATAGGTGAAATAGAAGATAAAATTATGGGAAATAATGAAGCTGAAAAGAGGAGGAAACAAAACCTATGAGATCACAATATAGACGTAGGGACTTAGGGATTCCACAGAGTGCAATAATATCCACATAATAGGAATCCCAGAAGAAGAGTGGGATAAGAGGCAAAAGGTTTATTTGAACACATTATAGGTGAGAACTTCCTCAAACTGGGAAAGAAAGCAGGGAATCCAGTCCAAGAGCCACAGAGAACACCTCAAATTCAACAAAAACAGGTCAACACAGAGGTGCCAGGTGGCTCAGTCAGTTAACTATCTGCCTTTGCCTCAGTCATGATCTTGGGGTCCTGGGTTGGAACACCACATTGGGCTCCCTGCTCAGCAAGGGAGTTTGCTTCTCCCTCTCACTGCTCCTCCTCCTCCCCTCCCCCAGCTTATGCTATCTCTCTCAAATTAAAAAAAAATCTTAAAAAAAAAAAACAGGTCAACATTGAGACATATCATAGTGAAACTTGCAATATACAAAGATAAAGAGAATTCTGAAAGTAGCTAGGGACAAATAGTTCCTAGCTTTAACCTACAAGAGTAGGTTACCTTAACCTACAAGGGTAGACACATGAGGTTAGCAGCAGATCTATCCACAGAAACCTGGAAGGTCAGAAAAAAGTGGCATGATATCTTCAATGTGCTAAATGAGAAAAATATGCAGTCAAGAACATTTTATCCAAAGAAGTTGTGGTGTGTGTGTACACACACACACACACACACACACACACAGGAGTATTATGCAGCCATCAGAAATTGAAATCTTGGGGCACCTGGGTGGCTCAGTGGGTTAAAGCCTCTGCCTTCAGCTCAGGTCATGATCTCAGGGTCCTGGGATAGAGCCCCACATAGGGCTCTCTGCTCAGTGGGGAGTCTGCTTCCTCCTCTCTCTCTCTGCCTGCCTCTCTGCCTACTTGTGATCTCTCTCTGTGTCAAATAAATAAAGAAAATCTTTTTAAAAAATTGAAATCTTGCCATTTTCAACAACATGGATGGAACTAGAGGGTATTAGCTAAGTAAAATAAGGCAATCAGAGAAAGGCAATTATATGATCTTACTCATACATGGAATCTGAGAAGAAAGGCAGAGGATAATAGAGAAGAGAGGAAAAAAAAGAAACAAGATGAAACCAGAGACAGAGACAAACCATAAGAGACTCTTAATTATAGGAAACAAACTGAGGTTTCCTGGAGTAGAGGGTGGCAGGAAGGGATGGGGTGGCTGGGTGATGGACACTGGGGAGGGTATGTGCTGTGGTGAGCGCTGTGTATTGTGTAAGACTAATGAATCACAGACCTGTATCTATACCCATAATGGATTATTAACATTAATTATGTTAATAATTTTTAAAAACAAGAGCAAGAAAATTGCCTCAAGTTTCCATGAGGGACTGGCTCTGGAGATACTGCCCATGAAGTTAAAATGAGGAGTTCTTTAAAGTTGTCATCGGGCAGCTTATTTCCTGCCTTTCATAGGTCCCTTTGTACTTGTACATTTGAGGAAGGTGGGTGGGTTGTCTTTTAAATTTTTACTCTATTCATGTTAGAATCTTCTTTTCTACAATTGCTTCACTTTTGTCCCATTTTCCCTTTTTAAAGCAGAATTGAACCTACATTTGCTGCATTGTGTAAAGTCTATGAAAATCATGTCCTTTATAATGTTTCTATTGGAGTTCTGGACTTGGGGCTAGGATGATTGGAACACAGATGCAATTCCTATGACTGTACCCATCACTTAATTTCCTGTAACAATACTACAACATTAAAAGGCTTTATGCATGCATATATACATGTATATATAAATACACATATGTATATATACATATATGTGTGTGTATGTGTGTATTTTTTTTTTCTATCCAGCAAGACTACTACTCAGAATAGGACAGATAAAGAGTTTCCAAGACAAGCAAAAACTAAAGGAGTTCGTGAACACTAAACCAGTCCTCCAAGAAATATTACAGGGAACCGTTTCAGTGGGAAAGAGAGACCAAAAGCAACAAAGACTAGAAAAGAACAGAGAAAATCTACAGGAACATTGGTTTTACAGGTTGATACAATGGCACTAAATTCATACCAATCAATAATTACTCTGTAAATTGACTCAATGCTCCAATCAAAAGACTCAGAATATCAAAATGGATAACAAAACAAAACAAAACCTAAGACTCATCAATATGCTGCTTATGAGAGACTCATTTTAGACCCAAAGACCTCCAGATTGAAAGTGAGGAGCTGGAAAACCATCAATCATGCTAATGGACATCAAAAGAAAGTGGGAGTAGTCATCCTTATATCAGAGAAACTGGATTTTTAAAAATTTAAATTAAATTTAGTTAACATATAGTGTATTATTAGTTTCAGGGGTAGAATTCAGTGATTCATCAGTGGTATGTAACACCCACCG